CTTGCGTAGTCACCTCCTCGTGGTGGGACCTGGTAATTGGTATCCTTTTCCAAAGAAAATTCTCACTTTTGCAAAAGGATACCAAGCTAAGAACTACGCGTACCCGTCGACACTCTCATTCTCACACACAGTTGAAAGTAGTAAATTCCCCACAAGTGTCAGTCCGCAAGGAAGCTAAACCTGACACTTGCAGAGTGAAGGACTACGTTTTCGAGCCTCGCGCTCGCCTTTGTAGTTTTCCGAACAAAGGCAAGGACAGCGAATAAAAGATAAGGATGAAACGTGAGTCGAGGCAACCAAGCGATTTAAACACCAACTTTTTTAATTTTACGTTTTCTTTATCCCGAAGTTTTTCTTAACATATTGATGAGATTTTTCTGGTGAAAATGACATCAAACACGACATAATTCGAACAATATTTACTTATTAACACGTTGACTGTTACGCCAGATTTACAGGTTGCTCTCAGGCGGCCACAAGAAAATTTTCATTATTTTAAGCATAAGATTATATTATGCTTATTATGCTTTATAACTTTTTTTTTTATTTAAAATAATGTCTAGTTAGCTATGACGTTCCAAATTTTTAGTTGATGATATTTATTTTATTTTAATTATTCTAAACATTTGAGGCACTCTGGTCACTGATGACCACCATGGCCCCATCGAGGAAACAATCTCTAGTCGCAGGTGACCAACGTGTTAATACTTATTGAGTGATTAATTTAATTTCATATTACATCGCTTTGGATGAATTGCTAAAAAAATACATTAAATATCTGTACACATTATCTGTCAAATGTGGAGAGAGAGGCACCGTTTGATGGTCAATTATAGAATCGAGCCAATTAGAATCGTGTGTACAGATATTTTATGTATTTTTTTAGCAATTCATCCAAAGCGATATATTATGAAATTAAATTAATCACTCAATAAGTATTAATACGTAAATGTTGTTCAAATTATATCGTGTTTGATCTCATTTTCATCAGAAAAATCTCACCATGTT